TAACTATTTCTAGCAATCCCTTAAACGATCAAATTACTATTCTCTCAAAAGCATAAAAATTATGTTATGTCTGCAATTGAAATAAGCAAAGGCGAAAACAATGTTGTGTACATGATAAAATTTTAGTTTTGTCAAAACTTCCTTTGCTAATCTTCACGACGAATTAACCCCTTCCCCACAGTCACGCATTTTAACGCATATACCGTTGCCCCACAATCACGCATTTTAACGCACATTGCGTTTTTGACGTTTTCTGCTCTGATACAACGTAAAGGTTTGATGAAATGACAATAAATGATAGAATAATAATTTTTTTAACTTCCATTCTAATATATTTCGCCAATAAGAATATTTTTCCTCGTTTTAATATGTCCAAGTCGTTCGATTTATTAGACGAAACTTTAGGTGCGACATGTGCAAGACAAATTAAGAAGGTCTTTCTTTTGACACTATATAAATAAGCCCGCAACTTGAACCACTGGGTTGGTGGTGTGATTGCCCCCCCCCCCCCATATTGTGTGAGATAGGTCCTATGAGTCAGAATTTATAAAATTCTACAAAATCAATCTTTTTAATGTAAATATTTGATAAAAGTATGTGCAAAAATCGACAAAAGGAATAGATAGAATTGCAAAAAAAAAATTAAATTAATTCTTAAAAAAAAACTGAAGAGAATAAAGGTATTGTTCATAAAATAAAGATTTGTGTAAATTTACATTACATCTTGTTTCTTGGTCGATTTAAATTCCAATTCGTAAAAATACCATTTTATTGTTTCCGCCTTACACAGCAATAAAAAAAATATATAACTGGGAAGGGAAAAAATACGACAATATCATGTTGAAAAAGATGTAAGTTATTTCAAATTTGATGATTTCATATCAAGTCAACGTTTCCAATATTCGTAAAAAAGTGTTGCACTAGCTCGTATGTATTGGTTTTTAAAAATATACGTTCATGTATATGTACCGGGTACATATAACAAGGTATTCGTGAAATTTTATGCAAGTAAACTACATACTTGATTGATATTTTTAAAAACAGGGCTGGACAAACAACAAGTCTGTGGGCCAATACTCGCTAGTAATACTAGTAATACCCCGCTTTGATGTGAAACTACAGATATATGTTAAATAAAATTTACACAAGTTCAGTTACGTGCATCTGTACGGACAAATAAGAAGTTGATATCAGATTCATACAAAAATAAATCCCATCATATGGCATGTCATAACAAAGTACACATGTATGTGCTAAAAAATTTTAAACATCTGCAATATATATGTACATGTGTAGTTGCTGGAAAAAAAAATGCAAAGGAAATATATGATTTTTTATACGACAGACGCACGGATAAACAAGAAATTGATATCAGATTTTAAAAAAAAATTATACCACGATATAGCATGCCTCAGTGAAGAATGTGCTAAAATATCAGGTATCTTTGATGAGTAGTTGCTGCGAAAACTGCGATCAAATCTTTGTTACGGACAGACACGCAAACAGCCAGATATATGGACCAGCAAACAAGATAAAACATTATACCCTTTCACCTCCCTCTCCTTGGCTTCGGAACGGGAATATATATATAAAATTAAAAGACGTGTCTACCGATTAGTCCCTTGGGAATATTCTTTGATCCACCTTGAGTAGGTTTAAATTGCCAGTGTATTTGAAAATATTCACGAATCCCTGTTGCATGTAGTTTTTAGAATATATATATGTATACGTGTAATCTGTAGGTTCAATTTTGTCAACACTACATACACTAGAAATGATAGGTTTAAGAAACACTTAATAGGGGAGTAAATATTAACTTTCTATAAAAAAAAACAACGATACGGTCTGATCTGATTCTTCCGGTTATATGTTTTTGTTATACATACATACATGTAGCAAATTAAATTGAAAGTAAGGGGGAGGGTAATTTGAAGCGGGGGGATAAACCAACAAAAAGGGGTTAACCCAATTTTCAATGCCTATACATGTATCATGTATATATTTGCAGAAAAGTGGTGGATAAGCCCACTACCCCCCCCCCCCCCCAAACACCCCCCCCCCCCCCGGTTCTGACTCCGATATGTAATAAACCGAAAAAAAACATTTGACATCCACCTTGTGAATGGACAGTTAACTCGTGACTGTATTCAAAGGGTAGTGCAGTAGAGATACATGTACATGTAAAAACTCCATTCTTTGGGGGGGGGGGGGGGTAACATCTTTCACCTACAGCGATCTAAATTATTTCCTAAATCGATCTCCGGTATTACCGGTATATTCAGCATTTCTGACATTTTTTTTAATTCTTCTATCAACAGCTTGTTTTATCGAAGGCCTGATCAGAAATTATGTACTTCATTTACATAAGCCCAGAAATCGTACTCCACAATTCAGCATATTTAATTTAATTTACCAAAAAAAAAATATGTATTGCTTAATTTCATATTGAACAATACAGTGGCGTGGTGAAAAAAAAATGGGAGACACAAAAAATGTCGATTTTTTGTGTCTCCTAGTTTTTTGTTTTTTTTTTTTGGGGGGGGGGGGGGGGGGGGTGTTATGTCTACCAAGTTTATGAATAATCGATAGGTTAAGAAATCAAGCATATATCTGAATTATATTATGTCAGTGATTACACTTTGTCCTAGGCACATGATACTGATCTCAAATTTAGCATGGTTTTCTTTTAAAACGAAACAAAGCTTTTATCTTTATTATTTTGATGTCAATGATTTATTGTTCAATTTTGATTTTCAGTTAGTAAAGTCTTCATTCCCAGTTTTATTAACTGAAATTTGTCATAAATGTCGGGGGAAAAGGTTAACAAAAAATGACAATAAACTATGAAAAATCGGAAAGAAAAAGTAGTTATAATATATATTTTTCATTACTGAAATAAAATGCCGTCAAATTATTGAGATAATCTGTTTATTATCCATTCTAATTTATATCAACATTTATTTCGGTCAGAATTGCATATCTTTTACAAACACAATCAACTTTTTTTTTGCCGTTAACTTGTATATTCTTATAATATGATAGTCATATGGATAACCGAGCAATCACAAAAGTATAGATGTTGAAAAATCTGTATATCTACTACGCACCAACTCCTTATAGATCCTGAGTGATTGATTAATTTTCAATGTATACCATGTCTTTTAATCTGACTTTCTTTTCTGCAAGTTTTTAGATAAACTATTCTTTTTCTACAAGTGGACAGGTTTCGTCTACATCGACGCTGCATGTTCATAAAATCTATTGCGTTCAATCTGATAATGAAGGCAAAATGTATTCCTTTGACAACCTGTGGAGAAATTTTAGAAATATATACTATATTAAGGTAGTACGAGTGTGAAATCAAAGTAATGGAAAACAAATGATTTGGGTATCAATGGATACACATATGTATAAGCAATACATGATTATAATATAAAGAAAAAGAGTGAAGCCGTTTGCCCCCTAGTGGTTGCCAAACTAAGGGAGGTAACTCTGCTTGATATTTTCCTTAAAAATATAGTCCGCACACCAACTTCAAAAAATAGGTCAAATATTATGTAAAATTTTTAAATGTTAATTTTTATCAAACATGGAACATCTGTTCTAAAACTTAAAATAATTTAAAAAAAAACAAATTATAAACTGTGCTTGCGGCGCCACCTATGACGCGTAATTTCTTTCACCAATATACTAAAGTTGTGGATCTTAATCAAATTATAAAACATAGACAGAGTAATGGAATCATAAAAAAACAATTTATTTTCTAAAAATATAATAAGAATTAATCAATTTGTCCAAATTTCAGAAAGAAGAGTGGAGTCATTTTGAAAATATTTAACCCGAATTTCCTCTGATCAGCTTTTCTCTGCAAAATTCTCATAAATACAACTGCTCTAAATTTGTTTTCATTTATGATACAAAAAAAAAACAACTTGAATGGAAAATGAACATGGTACAATATTCTATAAACTCTTTATTACCTGAACAATATTCATTTGTTAAATATAAAAAGTCAATGTTTCATTAAATGTCCTCCATAGCCATCTATATTGTCCAATGATTCGACACAATGAAATATGAGGAATGTGAATTTTTATCACAAATTTTACAATATGCCGAGTAATGGAAATAAAAAAAGCATAGGTTTTACATGAACTAAAACAACAATCAATTATTGTGTCCAAGTTTCAGAAAAAAGAGTGAATTGAAAATATTTAGCCAGAAATTCCACTGATCAGCTTTTTTCTGCAAAATTTTCATTTTTCAAGGATTCATATTTTTCATATCTCATTGTTATAGTCATGCAATAGACAATCTCTAGGTGGCAATATATATTCAGAAAAAAGAGTGGAGCCATTTTGAAAATATTCAGCCCGAATTTCCCCTGAACATCTTTTCTCTGCAAATTTTTCATGTTTATGACAACATTTTTCCAATAACATTTCCAAATTTTACAATATGTATTAAAATGAATATTGTACAAATTTTATGAAATAATATTATATCTGAACTTTCATTTCAAGTATATAAAACAATAATATCATGTATTATGAGTGCAGTGATGGGTCTTTTTCGTGATCCTGGTTTATATGGTTTATCTGAAAGACCGGTCTCCGAGTCTTACAATGGTATTCCAACCCACGGCATAAGGATCTATTCCGCGACACTAAAGTAATTTTTTTAACCTCTGGGCCACGTGGACAACTGTTCATTTGGTGTAAAAATAAATGTGTAATTATAGGAGTCAGCGATTTCTCGGGCAGTCATATTATTTGACTGAAAAGTCTTAAAACACGCTTTTGAAATTGATGCTTTTCGAAAAGGCGAATGCGTTTCAATACATATGGTTCTGAATTATATTCATCCAATGCCTTTCCTCTAAAGTAATGCCTGTATTTTCGTGGTGATATGCTTAATCAGCATAATTAATACTGTTTGACATCAGATCATGAAACCGCACTACTAATTAAGGGTTATAGTCAGGTCCTCAGATGTTTTACAAAAGTCTTAAAATGAAGGTTATGTCAATAAAAAAAATTACCTGCAGTTCCTGTGTACCCGGATACCGTGAGTCGGTATTTATCAGCCTCGTTTCCGATATAAAACGTGGAATATTCAGCATACGCTGTGTCCCCATTAAATCTCTGGAGATCAATTCGCAGTTCCTGGTTCTGATCTTTGGTTAATACATGGATTGCATCATTGCCTTTATAGGGAAAGTAACGATAATCATTAAATCTGATGTTTATAACTATTGATCAAAATATGCGTTCATCATAATTTATTGATTGTTTAATAAATTATTATTAATTTGATTTATTAAATTACTTATAAATCACACATATTGATATATCTGCAGAATAGGTTATAAAACAGTTAGATTTGGAGGTTCTTTTTTGGAAGAAATGTTGGATAGTGATAAAAGCGTTAAATGTTAACATTTTGTTTTTGGAAATATTTTTTTAATTTCTATATTTTTGTTGATGCATAAATTCAATTCATTGTCATTTCATATGCATGGGTAAGACTGTCGTAAAATAAGTGAAAAAAGAGATTAGAGTACCAAAGATAGTAATAGTACTAATAGATCTAGAGTTTGGAGTACCAAAGAGAGTGAAGGACCTTACAGAGTATTAAAAAGAAAAGAGTACATAAAGAGAGTAGAGTACCTATTAGATTAGAGTACCAAAATAAGGTTAAAAAAGAGCTGCTGAAGAGAGTACAATACGAATAGAGAGTTGAGTAGAAATAGAGATTAGAGAATCAAGAGTAGGTACCAAAGGGAGTAGAATACCTAAATGACTTGAATTGACACTGGGATAGAGAGTAGAGTACTAACGTAGATACAGTATCACAAAACAGAGTACAAAAAAATAGAGTACCTAAGAGAGTAGAGTACATAAGAGAGTACAGAACAAAGGAGAGTAGAGTATCGAAGAGAGTAGAGTTTATAAGAGAGTAGAGTATAAGAAATTAGTTCCAGTGAAAGTAGAGAACCTAAGAGACTAGAGTACCAACGAGATTATGGTACCTAAAAGTAGAGTACCTAAGAGTGTAGAGTCCCCAATAAAGTAGAAAATCTAAGAGAGTAGAGTTCCGAAGAGAGGAGAGTACCAAAGAAAATGGAGTACCTAAGAAAGTCGAGTAAGAGAGTAGAGTACGTTAGAGAGTAGAGTACCAGAGAGGGTAGACTATCTAAGAGAGTAGAATACCGAAGGGAATAAAGAACCAAAGAAAGCAGAGTAACAATGACAGTAGAATCCCTAAGAAAGTTAAGTATCTAAGAGAGTAAAGTACCTAAGAGAGTAGATGACACAAGAGATTTTAGTACCAAAGAGAGTAGAATACCTTAAAGACCTCAGTAAAGAGACACTGGGATGGGATACTCTCAGTGGAATATTTTGTGTATAGAAATGGTCACTCTGTTATTTTGGATAATTTCTGTAAGTTTGTAAATTTTTATATCTTGACATAAAATATGCCTTGACACTGTAAATAAACTACAGAGTTCTAAATTAGAGTTTAAACTGTGTGAATGAGTGTTGTTGAATTGAGATTTATTCTAACCCATAACATAATTACTGTGTAGCTTATTTGTTTGAGATATACATTGCTTTTTGTCATCCCTGGTTGACTGTTCGGTTTCAGTTTTTTTTTAATTATGAGATGGAGATTGCAACTTTAAAATATTGTAAGTAAATGAAGACGTGTAGGCATAATAAATAATAATACATTGTATCAGACAGTTTGACAGTAAGGATGTTTTACTTTGATCTTGGTGATCCAAATGTGGGTAAAACCCGAAAGATACATGGAAAAATGAAAATGAAAACCTAAAATATTGCAACTGCTGTCCATGAAAAAATAATCTAAGACAAAGAAAACAGAAAAAAACTCACATGCACGGAAAATCAATTTTATTTATTCTTCTATTATCCTATGTATAATTGGCAGAAAAGAAAATACTCGCTTTGTAAACTTCAGGTAGTTTCGGTTGACAATGGTTTTATTAGAATCAAACCTTTTAATGTTGCCATTAAACACAAGCATGCCGCATAAATGTTAATGATAAATTTTTATTTCAAAGTTCTTACCTATCCAGTAGTTGTTCTTTGGATCCCCAAAACCTTGTTTGTACTTTTTCCAAGTTCGATAGAAATCAGTTGATCCGTCAATTCTTTTCTGTATAACCTATAAACATAGTAATATTTTATCTTTTTATAATATCTTTCAAATACTGGAACTTTCTTATAGTTTGAAAAATTAATCATTTATTTCCATTTATTAATACCATCTATCCATACATGAACAGATACTTCTATAACATGAATATAAAAAATAAAATTACATAATTCTACATGCATATAGAAAAAACGTACAAATAACATGAATACATATAAACAAACTTAACATACAATCATACATTTATAGTTAGAAATAAACATACACGTATTCACACATGCGTACATATGAACATAAGTATATATGTTACAGTAAATATGTGTAATTAGGAATTCCATGCATTTCCTGAATTTTAGGAAATACATGACATTCCTATTCTGCTTAGGGAATATATAGACAGATATATTTATATATAGATATCATAAAATATTAACAGATGCACAGTACATTCATTAAAAGTTCATATCAGTTATCATAATTATCATACGTGAATAAAGAATATTTGAAATAAACTTTACTTATGAACTAAAAAATTGCATTACTTGTAAAAATTACCCCAAAAACTTTCTGCTTGCATTTTTATGGAATGTGTTTTCTATATCCCTACATATACTTTCACTAACTTTCAGTTATTTAATCTAATAGACTAAAATCGCTTACTGGCATTTATTATTACATTAGATATTCATAAAAAAGCTACATTTTTTTGACAGTTAATTTAAACCCTGAAGCATCTTATTTGCAAATAAAAATTTTTATGACCTGTCTCTTAACAATGCTCCCCAAAATTTGGAAAGTACACATTATCTAATTAAATTGAAGTCAGTAATTCAAGATGAAACTTTACTACAAAATATTTTTCACCCTCAAAATTTTTATAGTTCAAAATAGAAAAAAAACATTTATTTTTTGCTTTATAAGTTTTAAATAACTTATAATTCAAAACTTATCTATGTTAGCATAATGTAAGCTCCCTACGGATGGCCATGTTGGAATGGGGGCTATACAAAATTATTACAAACAACACTTCTCAAGGTCATTCCTTATTTTTTGCTTCATTTTTCTCAGTAAGGACAAGACTTTGTATCAGTCAGTTTAATAATTGGTTTCTTAATTGATCATTCCACAGGAAATAACAGTAGGTAAACAAAAATTTATATTGGATAGATAAAGATAATTAATATTCATTTTGGTCCATAGTGTCAACCGTACTTTAATGGTTAAAATAGTAAAAAAGGTGATTTGGCATAAAAAGCTTTTAAAAATCTAACATCGCGTGTCCAGTGTGTTGGGAGATAATTTACAGTTGTCTCACCTAGGATTAGGCTACTCCTGCGATGTTGCTCGTGCAACTTATTTTCCAGAGAGTGCCCAGATAGCAAGACATAGTTGGGCCAACGTTGGCCCAATTTTTTTTCCAACGTTGGCCCACTGTTGGTAACCTTACGTTGGTAATTTTGCTCATCGACCCAACGTTGGTCCAACATGTGGGCATATTGTTGGGCCAACGTAGGTATAATTGTATGACAACTAACAGCCAACCTTAATAACTGGTTGGTTAGGTTGGCCCAACGTTGGCCCTTTGTTGAAATGTCAGATGGCATATTGTTGGGCCAACGTAGTTATTAGTGTATGCCAACTAACAGCCAACATTAACAGCTGTTTGGTTAGGTTGGCCCAACGTTGGCCCTATGTTGAAATGTCAGATAGCATATTGTTGGGCCAATGTAGTTTTTAAGCGGTTAGCTTCGCTAAGCGCTGTATGGCATGTGTCCGATTTTTTATCAAAATCGGAAACTTCCAGAAGGCGCTACCTATCGACAACAGAAACTTCAACAAAGCCTCTACCTAGTACCTATGATTTGTTTCTAACACATCTGTAAGTTGTGCAGTTTATATTACTTCCATAATGAAACGTTTGTTTTCTTGTCCTTTTTTTCTCAATAGAAATTATTTAAAAGATGATAAAAGCTTTGTTTCCAGGGAAAAATTGATTTTCAAAAAGTGGGAATAGGTAGATATGAACCCGCCTGCTGACCCGAAGTGCGCCTTCGAAACCGAAGCTCTCTGAAATTACCGTAATTAATCTCTGCTCGTCCATCCGTTTTTCTCAGACTAGCCAGCTAATGATCTATGTACAGTACTCCAAATCAATTAATCCAAAGAATTTGACTTATCATTATATTTTCTTTTTGAGTTGTTTGCTATAGAGCCTTTACAGTTACCTAATTTCAGTATCAATAGAGCATGAAAGCCAATAAAATTTGCAACATCAACATAATTATTTTTCGTTCTGAGCACTTTTGGACGCCACTAATGGAGACAATTAGGGAGAAATTTTTGAAATTGAATTTCGTCTTTCAAACTGAAAATCGAAGGTTGATATTTTGAAACAAACATTTGTGACATCAGTTTGGGATGTTATTGGTTATACCATTTATTTAGGTACTACAAAATTCATTGTGTCTGCTACCACTACACCCGAACACCTGCACATGCGAACTGACGTCTTGAATTCTATCAAACAGCAAGAAGCAGAGAATTTCCATCAATCTTCGAGAGATATTCCTCCAGATCGGTCGTACCACGGGTCGGTTCCTTCAACCCATCAATCCAATGATGTCTTGAATTCTATAAAACAGCCAGCAGCAGAGAATTCCCCTAATTCTCTGACAGATATTTTTACCGATCGGACATACCACGCATCGGTTCCTTCAACAGACCAATCCTTCGGGTCGGAATTTCAACACGTCATACCTACAGAAGATATGCCTTTCTGTGACGATTGTGGTCTGGGCTATGAAAACGTCCACGACCTTCAAAGGCACGTGAAAAAATGGTGTCCCGAAAACAGTCAAAGGAAAGATGATATTGCCCCCATGGAGATGGATGAGGCAAATGACTCCCCTTTCAAACCAGAGAAGGAAAAAGATGACGAATACGAAGTCTTTAACTTTCTCATGGAAGGGGCAAAAGAAGACAATGAAAAAAAACTATGGGACCTGAAATTTGATAAATACATAAAGGAAGGTCTATCAAGAGAAGACGCCAGAGTTCAAACGGAGGAAAAATTGAACTCAAAAGACCTGAAGAAATTCTCAGAAAAGTATGGACAATTCATCCTGTATATCCTACAGTTACAAAACGGTTCCATTCACACTAAGGTCATGGATGATGTTAAAGATTTCCTGTCCGGAGGCTATGACGAACGTAGAGCCATCAGAATGGCTTTGAATAAAAATCGTCCTGTCCTTGAAAAAATGTGGGATCCCGAGAGTGATATGGAGATCGACGATGCTTCCGAAAGTGAAGACCAAGAGAGAGAGAGGATGACGATAGCGAATTGGAAAAAGATGAATCCTAATAAGTCTAAATAACATTTTTAGCCTTTGTCCATATATTGTTTGAAAAATGAACTATCGAATGTATATTGTTGCATTTACTTAAATAAACAGTGAAAAAAACAGTATTGTTATTTATATCATCATTAGTCATGTGATTTGGTATTATAAAAAGGGGTTAGGGTACATTGAAGCTTCAATTCAACGTTGTCCATGCCAGAAGAAACATGTCTTGGGAGGATTATCTCAAACAAGTATATTACGATCCATCCACAGCTGGTAGTTTTACCGGAGTAGAAAAATTATTCAGTTACGTTCAAAAAGAGGGAAAATATGATATCAGCAAGTATAAGGTACGCAAATGGTTACAGAGATAAGAACCCTACAGTCTTCATCGACCCGTGAGACGACATTATCGTCGCAATCAGGTCGTCGTCGATGGCCTTGATGATCAATGGGACGCTGATCTACTGGACATGACCAAATTCAGCAAAGAAAATGAGGGTGTGCAGTCCGTACTCCGTCATCGATATCTTCTCCAAGTACCTATGGATGCGACCTTTAAAGGGTAAGAAAGGGCCAACAACAGCCCGGGCGTTCGAAGACGTATTGCGTGAGGGGAGGCAACCTAAGAAGCTTCGCACAGACAAAAGACAAGAATTCCGATCAAAAGCCTTCAATAAAGTATTAAAGGATCACAATATAGAACATTTTTATTCTCAAAACACCGAAGTGAAAGCCAACTATGCAGAAAGAGCCATTAAGACGATTAAAACTAAGATGTATCGTTACATGACATTCAAACAATCCGAACGATACATTGATTGTCTTCAGGAATTCGCTCGGAGTTACAACAAAATGTCCCACCGCACCATTGACACCGAACCTGAACTGGTTAGACCAAACAACGAAGAAGAAGTGCGCGTATCAACATTCCTGTCTCGAGAGCAGATCCCAGGCAAGCAATCAAAACGGTCCTACAAGCACAAAGTGGGTGATAAAGTACGCATTTCGAAAATATCATCCATTTTTGACAGGGAGTACGATCAAAAATGGTCTGATGAAATTTTCATCGTGTTTCGACGTTTCCTGAGGAACGGCATTCCAGTGTACAAACTCAAGGACTACAATGACGAAGCCATTTCTGGGACATTTTTTCAACCGGAACTCCAAACAGTGGATGTTAGAGATGAGGATACGTTTAAGATTGAAAAGATCCTCAAGACTCGTGGAAGAGGACCAAACAAGCAATATTTTGTGAAATGGCTGCACTGGCCAAAGAAGTTTAATTCTTGGATAAATGCTGATGATATGGCTGCATAATTTATTGCAATTATCATTGCTTTCCTTGAAATTATTTGTATTCAGACTTATGTCGAAAATATTGCTCTTCATGTCTTGCAATAAGATATTTACAAAAACAATGTGTTGTTTTGATCAATCCCCGACTGATCTTTACTCGTTAAGACCTTCTTTTTTATATGATTTTTTTCATTTGCACTTGATGAGCTCGATAGACTCCTAGGCTGAAAATTACTTGTCAAGACCTTCCATTTGAAAGATCACAATTAACCCTTTGAGTTACCTTTTGATTTTGCACTCGATGACCCCAGAACACACCCCGGCTGAACTGTACTCGTCGAGACCTTCCATTTGATATGTCACACGATACCCATTGGGTAACTGACGCGTTGAGACTTTCTATTTGATCTGTCACACGATAACCTTCGGATAATTTTTGATTTTGCACTTAATCGGGATGAGAGTCCTTCCATTTGATATATCAGAGATACCTTTTGAGTAGCTTTGATTTTGCACTTAATGACCCCGGACTACCCCCCGGTATTACCTCTTCTCGTCCAGACCTTTCCTTTGAAAGGTCACGTGACCAAATATTCAAATGATGCCTTCTGATTGGTCGGAAGTTTGATGACGTCATTGGCGCGAAATTTGAGTCGTGATCTATATAGGCACACTCCACAACTGGTAACTTTCTGACAAACCGTGAAATTTTAGACACGTGAAATTAAAGACGTCTACAGTATATAGCAAGTGTATTATCCACAAATTTAAATTTCACTTCTTCTTGCTTGCCCTGCATTATCACCACCTGTGAGCAATTGAGCAATTGAATCTGACAGCTCACTCAACAGTTTGGTCACGTGATAGCGAACGCCTAACTTTTGTTTCAATTTAATTATAAAGCTGTGTCATTTTGATCTATGTATATGTAGGCTTTATTCACATCCTGTTCCTGAGAACGTATTCAGTCTTTTCTAAATTCTCATGAATACAACGCACTCATGAAAAAATGCATAATTTCAAGGGTTTTATTTCAAATAAATAATCATGCATGTGCACAATTCAAAAAACATAATAAAACACTCTTTGGTGCTGTAATCACTTAAGTTTAAATTTGAAATGTTGAATATGTCAGATCGAAACAGAAACAGTCATCCAAGTAAAAGCATGGACATTGAATGTCAGCTCAGCAGCTTAAGTTGACACCATCTTTAGTTGGCAGTATAATAATTAGACCAGCGTTGGCCCAATATAAATATCCTATCTTTGATACACCTAAACAAAAGAACACTCGTGCTAACATCGGGCCAACATACTACAATGTACTATAAAATTGATAATATATTTTTTGATGGTGTATTACAAACATTTGGCAAATATACTACTACCCATTTGATAAGACAATTTCTTTATGGGTGTATAACAAACATTTGGCCAACGTTGGGCCAACAAACTACTACCAATTTGATAAGACACTTTATTAAGGATGTATTACAAACATTTGGCCAACGTTAGGCCAACATACTACTATCAACTTGATAAGACGCATTCTTTATACTGTAGGTGTATAACAAACATCGGGTCAACTTTGGGCCAACATATTACTACCAACTTTCTTTAAGGGCGTATTACAAACATCGTGCCAACGTTGGGCCAACATACTACTACCAATTTTAAAAGACACTTTCTGTTTAAGGGTGTATTACAAACATCGGGCCAACGTTGGGCCAACATACTACTACTAACTTTAAAAGGCACTTTCTTTAAGGGTATATTTCAAACATGAGCACCAAACGTTGGGCCAACATGTTCATCGAATTACGAAATATGACCAACTTTAAAAGACGAAAACTGTTTTCCACGAAAATTGATAGAAAATTGATGCGTATTACAAACATCGGGCCAACGTTGGGCCAACATACTACTACAAACCTTAAAAGACACTTTCTTTAAGGGTGTATTACAAACATCGGGCCAACGTTGGTCCAACATACTACTACCAACTTTAAAAGACACTTTCTTTAAGCGTGCATTAAAAACAGTGGGCCAACATCAACATCCCTCCTTCCCTTGGAAGTAAAGTGAATGGAAGTTGCAAACGTTGGACCAACGTTGGGCCAGCATAGGAATTCTGTCATGGTCGAGAAGGTTGGCATGGTGACATTGGTCCAACGTTGGCCCAACGTTGTTTCCCCAACGCTAACCATACAACCTTTTGCCAATGTTGGCCCAACATAGTCTTGCTATCTGGGTGGAGAGGCACTTATATTTATAACCTTTGGAATAGTCATGTGATACAAATTGACCAATGAAAAAGCTGTACGGTGTCAATCAACCAATCGCAGCGCTGTACGGCGCCTTACAAACAGAGATCTGTCAAACAGTGTCAAACAAGGCTGTTCTACAATGAGGATAATAACTAAAAAAAGGCCGCGGAAGTAAAATGAGAAAAGACAAAATAACCAATAAATATGGATTACAAAAGATGTGTCTATAATCAGTCAGTAAACAATCAATGTGAATTAACTGCGTATTTCATGATAGAAAACTGCAATTGTATAGCAGACGATATTCAAATAGCTTTGTCTAAGTAAAAATGTGTAACTACCATTGAATTCCGTTTAAAGTAAAATCCCTTGATAAATCGTAGTAAAACATATTAAAACATTAATTTTGGGAATACTTACAAGCAAATATAACATCGAATTGCATAACAAAATACAACTTCATCAAATTTATACAAACTCTGGCTAATACAATTTAGATGTCGGCGGGATGTAAACAACTTCCATGACTCCAACAATCATGTGCAATTATGGCAATGCCAAGCGCTAATTTGACTCATAAATAATCAAGTTATATACAGTAACATGCGAAGATTTTTAAAGTATTCAAATTAATTCATAGAATATAGGATTTCTTGTATAAATCCAAACAACAAGTATGCCAATGTGCTAAAAATAGACGACACCACGTTGAGTGAATAATCAAAGGACTGAAATGTAGTAGTGCATTTAATGCATAATAAAATCCACCAATATAATTTTTGACACAATTAAATCATAAAAAAAAATAATTAGCTAATTAATTAAATTCTACCCCAGGCCATTACAATAATTTTAAAAATGCAAGTCTCAGAGAAACAGAAGAATGATGTATATTAACATTTAAAAATCGTACATCTTTGATAAATTTTATAATAAAAAATTATGTCAAAACTAGTTCAATTACATCATTCTAGATAAAGTTAAAGATCCAAATTGATAGCTTCTTTACATAAATATGTGAATTGTGAATATCACAAAATTCATTTAACTTTAGAACTACAAACAGGAATTCAAAATAAATGCATTACATCAGATGTGTAGAAACAGTTCTAATCAAACTTTGCTTTGAAAAAAAAATTAGTTTTTGTATACTTACTTAATGATTTAAAGGATATTCCTCCAGCTTAGTTCAGTTAAAACGTAAATATTTGGCTAAAATTTTCAGTAAATACATGAATTTCTTAGTTATTCAGTAATTACACGTACATGTATTTCCTAAAATACGGTAAATTGAATACATAGAGAATAATACATACCCTTTTTCATATCACATCCTGTATCGGCCCGAGACACCAATATCAGCCAGAGGGCCTTCGGCCCTGTGGCTGATATTGGTCGAGGGCTGATACAGGATGTGATTTGGAAAAGGGTATGTTTAATTATATTTATTACATACTTAGTAATAAAATACAGAACACATTAAGTTGAGAAGAAAATAAGTAAATAATTGTGCACAGACTTAAAATTTACACAGTTTATTGTCTCATACAGTTTCGGTTTGTTTCTGTACTTCTATTTCAAGTGTCCCCAATCCATAATTTGACAATAATCTATAATATGTATTTGTAAATTAAGATTTTCCTTATTTTCAAAAAGTTAACATAAAGAGAATATGAACCCACCAAAAATTGTGTATGACCACAAGTACTATTTTTGTGGTTTAATTTACTAATGTTGTGATATTGACGTCACAATAGCCGTATCAGCCCTGCAGGCCTGATAAGGATTTGCAGGGCTGATATAGGTTATCAGCCCTGCAAATCCATATCAGCCCTGCAGGGCTGATACGGCTATTGTGACATCAGCGATATCGCATATGAAAAAACCTGTATTTATTACTAAGTATGTAATAAATACATTTTTTGAATGAATTAGGAAATACATGAAATTCCTGATTAAACATATTTACTGTATCATATAGATACTCAACACTAAGTTACATATAAACATGTACTTATACCAACATACACTTACATACATAAACATACATGTAAATACCAAAAAACTTACATATAAACATACATGTTTATTTGCATTCCTACTACTTTCTCTCACTATGAACTTGCAGACTCCAATTGCGTTCATAGGACCATACACTAAACGTCTTCTGCTATGAGTGCAATTACTTTTTCACTCTCGCATAGTACAACTCTTATTTTTTTGTTTGTGTTGGAGAGTAAATCTAAGCTGGTATAACTTGTGTCCAATCCCATTGATTGTGTTCAATAAAATATGTTTAAATCACAACTCTTATTACATTATTCAAACGCGTTCAAAGTAAATATTAAAATTACATATGTGTTTTGCATATAAAGTGACTGGAAATCTATTGCATTCAAAATACCATAGCACAGACAGGGTTTTAAAATGTTAAAGCATGCTAAGCCGTTTTAGTTTGACCGCATAATCGTTGAACGCCGAATGAAAAGTCATAATCTAAATTAAAAAAAATCATAACGCCATGTTTACTCAATAACGTTGTTCATTTCTTAAATACCCCCACACACTAAATTTATAAATATACACGTATTTATACAAACTCATGATTATGTAAACATTTACATAATTATATAATCAGCCTTGCATATTTTCATACACTTCGCCTCACTCAAAACACACAAACTCACACACACACACACACCCTCACACCCTCACACACACACACACACACTCTCTATCTGACATCTTACACGCTAAATCACATTCAGAGTAATCTGTGTCACGTGACCTATTTGTACTCACCGTCCATCCGCCTCCATCTGTTGTCATGTCACAAAAGACGGAAGTGATGTCACCATTAATCGATATCTCATAGACGCCATCTTTTCCTTTTAACCTCTTATTTCGCTCCAGAATAGTGTTACAATCATTTGGGTACAGTTTTGATTTTACTAAAAAAAACAATGATTAAAAAAACGTGATTGAAATAGACACAGAAAACATTTAATATTGTCGCATCAATACGAGTATATGCATCACCGGCGTAAGCTAAATTTAAAGAATTATTTACAAGATCCGTAATTCAGTTGTTTTGAATGTTGCATTTGATTTGTGTTTAAAAAATTAAATAGTTTACAAGAATATTAATCAAAAAGTCTCTCTAGAATATATTGGAAAAATATTTTTTCCTGATTGGTATCTGAGTTTTTAATCATTGATTTTCATTGCAGGTGGTAAAATTTTGTGCTATCAATTTAAACCTGACAAATCATGGAATATGATGATCAGGACTAACGTTTTTAGACAATAAATGATCTTCATACTTCCCTAACATATGTCATAAACAACCAGTCCAAAAATAAGGACTTCATTGAAAAATGGAAATACATGTATGCATATCAAAACTGTTGCTTGTAAAAAAAGTGTAAAAATAAATTTTCGTACTCAATTACTTTTATACTGAATCTACATTTTATATACATGTATATCATGGAACAAAGATATGATGAATTCGGTGAGTCTGACGAAATCAAGGTTCCTATTCTTTAAAATACCAATTATTATAGGATGAAAGAGTATGAGACTCAGAGAGAGTATGATTACGAACAGTTTTCTAGCCCAAACGTCCATCAATAATACAAAATAGAAGCAGAGCAAACAAAGATCTCCAAATCATCAAATATGAGATCGGGTGCCATGAAGGAGTGAGCATTCTCCGGGTTTTTTAAGGTTCGTCTGTAAAAGATCCAATTCCAAATGATAAAAAGTCTGTGTTTTTCCCAATTTCATGAAAGAAAATTCCCAAAAGAAAATTAAAACAAATAAAATGTCCAAACTCAGTAATACGAGGGTTGTCCCGTAAAATCGTGCACAAGTTGTCTAGTTTGAAAAATAATCATCACTGCATTCTGAAATTTTCACTACTCTTTAATACATATAATATGAATATACATAGCAAATTTCAAATAGATATATGCATAAATAAATAAATTGTGATATTTTATGTTATGTACTGTTTCGCCCTACGGCGCACGGATTATAATGTCAAGGTGTCTAAAACAGCATCGCGTTTCATGTTTGTTAAATGTAAAGTTTGATAAACCCCACTTAAATCTAAAATTTTTTTCATACGTGAGTGAGTGTTTATAACCAGTTAAGGAACTAATGTGGCACACTCATGCGATCTTCTGAAGATTTATTAGCAAGTTACGGACAGTATTCTCACCATCAATCAATTAACAAAGAATCTCACATCAACGGTCGACAGTGACAGCGGCTTTTGCTATTACGATGGCAGTCTGTCCGTTTGTTTTGTACTACTTGGGGACTCGATCAAGAAAACTTCGCTAGGAAAACTTCCATTTCATTTATATTTCAAAGATTTGGTGATATTTTACATATTTTCTTTCTTTTGTATTTATTTAAAGTCTCTTAATGTGTCATTACAACATCCTAATCTAACTGAACTGTTCTCCGGTGCGCCGTAACGTCATCAAACGTCGCCATTTTTCGTGTATTGTGTTTACCACTTTCCAATTTCGAATGCTCGGGAAACTGCCAAAAATTAACCAAAATGCTTGAAATTTTCAAAAAGACCTCAGAATTGATTAAGGAATTTAATTTGAACAATTTTCATCCTAATCTTGTGTATTTTAAACTTTTATTAAGATTTAATACTTGCATTGGCTCTAATATAACCTTGTTATTTTTACCGTGCGCCGTAGGACCGTACCCTGTAGGACCGTACATTCAAGCAAAATAAAATCTTTAGTTTTGCATATATATAATCAAAAACATTATGATACACTTAAATATGATGAATAAACATTTACTGAAAATTTCAGCTTAGTGCGCCCATAACTTTTTGAGAAAAGCGCTTTGTCCACGATTTTATGGGACAATCCTCGTATATTTATTATAATGTATCATTAGAGATGCCCCCCCCCCAATAATATCTAAAGGGCATTCTCTAAAACACTTATTGGCTGAATGTGAAATAAGTCAATAAAATACCATTGAGAATGAGAAAAAAAGCACACCTTAATTGATCTTATGGAAAAAAAACTGTAAAATATGATGTTTTCCCAATTTCAACAAAATATCGCTATTTTCCCCTAATGGAAAGACCCAGGCCCTTGTTTTTAAAAGCTAAAAAAAATCCTTGCCCCCCGCCGATCAGTCAGACCTGTCGTGTGCTCCTTGTATTAAACTATAACACAGGCAAACTTACCAGCAGATAGAGAAGAGGAGACGTTAATAATCTGCAGGTTTAGAATTTTATGTTCCTCCACTAAGCCATCAAGTGTATCATTGATAGATGTTGAAAATGTTTTCAGGGAGTTTTCTATTTTATTAAATCGTCCCTCATACACGGAATGTTTCATATTATTCAGTGTGTTTTTCACATCATTTAACTGTTCTCTAAAGAGAAGATTTTCTGTTGACAATTCCCGGTTTTTATTTCTGAGGTCCGATTCTTTGTTCTTTAACTGCTGAATTTCTTCATGCAGGGTTTCATTTTGTATCTGCAGGCGATGTGTGATTATTCTGTTTTCCGCCAGTAATTTTCTATTTTCTCTCTTGAGAACTGAAGTTTGATTTCTTATTTTAACTAATTCCTTCCCTGTTAAATTTCGAACTTTGTTCATCATCATATCTTGATTACTTCTTAATGTCTCATTCATAGCTTCTAACATCTGTTTAAGTTTTGTAACCTCTGTTTCTATACCGTTATCACTCCTCTCCAATATTTTAAATTCCGCCAGTAATTCTCTGCTTTCTTCCTTGAGAACTAAAGTTTGATTTCTTATTTCAAATAATTCCTTCTCTGTTAAATCTCGAACTTTGTTCATCATCATATCTTGATAACTTCGTGCTGTCTCATTCATAGCTTCTAACACCTGTTTAAGTTTTGTAACCTCGGTTTCTATACCGTTGTCTCTTGTCTCCAGGTCTTGTAACTCCTTTGTTAAGATTTTCATTTTCTGCTTCACCACCTGAGAATTGTTTTTGCTGTCTATTACATCCATTACTAAGTTCTGGATTCTCTGAACCATAGAAAACCTCACTAGGCTCTCCTGGTTGAGGATGTCACGTAAGATACTGGACGCTTTCACTCCGGACGTCGTGCTTCCATCCAACATAGATTTCTGTAGAATGTTACTATCAGCAGAGACTTGTCCACTTAATGTTACATTCAGCCAAAGCAACATACATAGACTCTGTAGAATATACATTTTGTCAAATCCTTTTCTTTTGCTCGCAAGTCAAGACTGAGTTTATATTCTGGCAAAGAATAAGTATACTTATATCAGTTTGGACAAAATTGAAGGGATTTTTTTCTTCATGTGCCAAGACACTGAGATAATTAGAAATGTTTTGTGCAGTATTTACGTTATCCCATCTTTTAAAGTTATATGAACAGGTCACGGATATTAAAGAGCCAATTATTATATGATTATGGTTGAATAACAAAATAAATAAATTGTACTTTAAGTAAAATTAAAGAGCATGATACACGTGTATTTGAATTAGCTGATTAAGTTAGCTAAATAAGATCAGAAAAATTTATTATATCTGGCATATTAGTATACTTAAACAAATTTAGCTTCTGTCTCAATTATCTGTGATAGGATCCTGGTTTTGATTACTCAATATAAAAAATGAAAGAATGTTTATCTTCAAAAGAAAAAGGGATAAGACAGAATGATCATTTAAAGTGTTTCTTTGGACAAGGTTATTTATGAATTAGGGTAAAAATAAATACTTATTAAAAACAAAACATAATGAGATAAAGTATTTGTCTAGAAATATAAAATTTACAAAGAAAGGGCTTTGATTTCAAAAGGGACATTAAAATTTTGTGAACATTGTCTTTGTTATAAAACACAAGGACAATTCTGAAATATTGCAGATATTCTAAGGTAATTAGCCACGTGTTCTCTCTGCTGGTTCATCTAATAATCAAAGTGCTGAGAGCTAAGAGTTAAGATTGGAGTTTGTACACGCGCTGTACCACCATGCTCCGTGATGATTTATAGCACAGTTGTAACCAGCTTGATCATTATCCTGGTCCTTTGTGTGACCGCGTGTTTTTATCAATAAAAGTATTACTTAATAAAAACCCATTTGATTTATTGTTTTTAATTTTTGTCCATAATGTAATTCCATACTTAAGTATTTAGAAAGAGCGTTTGTATATAATTATTACACTAAGGCTTTTCCATAGTATATCCCATTTTGGTCAAGCATGCTATTCATGCATGGATGAACCCAGGTATTTGAGTAGACCTCTCTAATGATGTCGGGGTAAATTACATACACTCCATCTAGGCCTCTCTTGCTGGAGTCTTTTGCTAAGATGTCTAAACAATCCTTGTTTCTTTTTTCTTGTTAATGGACGAAAAACGAACAATAACTATGTTCAATATGTTAACAAACAATACAAATTAAAAAAATAAAAATTATAAAATATTTTAATAAAAATAAGACCAATTGAATCTGCTACAAGTGTCTTTGCATCATAATATCTTAAGAATATATTCTTTCTTTCGCCCAAATATTGATAAACCCTTCACAGAAAAAAATATTTTGATAACATTTCTCCATTTATTTAACAATAAGAATATATCAAAAGATATGTGAGATTTGTAATTTTATAAAGGTACTTATGTACAAATATTTACACAAACACTCTCCCAGTGTAAATACACGATTTTATAATTTTATGCAGAGCTGAAAAGATGCTATTTTTCTATAAAGAACCCATGATTCTTTGTATCATTAGTCACATTAGCTTGTAGGCTACCACATGTAAAGATAACAAACTGGGATCACCATGGAGGAGAAATCGTGAGCTTCCTATCAATGGAAGATAAACAAAAACTATCCGAGAATGAATTGGCATTAAAATAAAATCCTGACAATTTGTATCAAATATGTCAGTCAACATCCAATTTATTAATAGATTTTATTTGCAAACAACGTCATTGTGCCGACCAAACAATTTGCGAAATTGACTTTAATTAAACGAGATAGTAGCTACCCCTTTATTATCAATTTTTTGTAAATTGTCTACCTCGATTAAGAAACTAATCGTTATTGGTATATTGCTTCATACGAGGGGCATTTCAAAAGTTCTCATAAGTCCACCAAAACAATACAAATTATAAGAAGAAAACAGAGGGACCCCTGAAAACAGATGGGATCGGGTACATGGTGGAAAAAAACATTACCTGTCAAAAATCAGACTCACCGTGAGCTTCCTATCAATGGAAGGTAAACAAAACTATCCGAGAATGAATTGGCATTAAAATAAAATCCTGACAATTTGTATCAAATATGTCAATCAACATCCAATTTATTTATAGAATTTATTTGCAACACAATGTCATTGTGCCGACCAAACAATATGCGAAATTGACTTTAATTAAACGAGATAGTAGCTTCCCCTTTATTATCAATTTTGTAAATTTTCTACCTCGATTAAGAAACTAATCGCTATTGGTATATTGCTTCATAGATAAGGGATTTTGATGATCAAATAATTGAGGTCATCGTGTCTCTCATAGGGTTAGAATTGTTAGTTTGCTAATCAGTATCTCTCTAAAAAATTAAAAGTACAACAGATGTGTAAGACTTTGTCTTGTTTTTTATGTCGAAGTTAGTGGAATAAAATAAGTTAATGGAATAGAAATAATTTAATGGAACAAACATTATTTAATAAAATAAAAATAATTTATTGGACAAAAAATTAAAGAAATCAAAAAATAAATATGAATAATTTAATCCTCTTCTCTGCAGTCACACATTTTTACGCATATACCGTTGTCCTGCAATCACGCAGTTTCACGCACTTTAACTGCTAATTTTCACTGAGAGGGAAGAAGGACATGGAGATAACGAACATTATTCAATCACAAAGTCCATGAAACAATATACAAAATAAGAGCAGAGCAAACACGGACCTCCAAAAGATCAGAAGTGGGATCAAGTGCCATGGAGGAGTGAGCATCCCCTGCCGACTGGTCACACCCGCCGTGATCTCCTTGTCATTATCAGGAAATAACGGGGAAAAAATCTGTCGCCAATTCAGTGCTTAAATAATGGACTAACAATTGGTATGAAAAACCTCAGTCAGCATTTGACTCAATGATAAATCGTATATGCTGACAAGGTCATTGTATCGACCATAGAACTTACGAAATGATAACTTAAATGATATAACCTAAAGCAACTCTTCTGTAAGTAAAGAATCTCAATGATTATCAACAAACAGAAAAGGATTTGTAAATCAAATCAAAAAATGTTGCAATGAAGAAAAAAGTTATACTTCCAGAAAATGAAATAAAGCCGAAGAATATAAAGCATGTGTTACCTTTAAAGACAAATACACATTTACCACCAATACATATTTCATCTTCAGAACAGGAATGGTTGAAACAAATGCCAGTCAAATGCTGAAATAAATTCCTCAAATTTATTATTCCCTTTGTTATGTTTTTAGATAAGAAGTAAGATATCATTTTCAGAGTGTCGTTTGGATATTTCATAAAAAAAATTGTCATATGATCAAATTTTTATTTCCCAAATATTTCATTTTTGTTATATTTGAGTTATACAAATGTAACATATCGTAGATGTACGACGCTATGTGACTTCACAGTCTAGACATTCCAAAAATCTCCTTCAGTTTGCTTTCCATTCCCACAACACGTATCACATGTCCAACTTCCTATCATTGAAATTAAATGTAATTCGTACTGCCATACAAGAAAAAGCATTGGCATATATCAAAAAATCATGAGATACAATAATTATCATTTTATGTGTTTTAATGGGATATGACATGAAGTCGATCACGTGATGAAATTATTTAACGCTCGAAGTGCGTTATAGTAGATTTGATCACGTACTGACTTCATGTCATATCCCATTGACCAATGATATCTTATTTCTTATATTTATATTTTTATTTCTATTCACAATACAAATACCAAACTGCTCTATTTAGACTTTGTTATTGAATGCCACATAACGTATAAATACGACGTCATATGACGTCACAGTCAACACTTTCTGCAGTTTGCTTTTCATACGCAAGAAAGTCTGATCATGTGACCAAAATTGAATTTCATTTTTTTAGCATTGTCGTATAAGGAAAGACATTGGCAAATGTAAATGTTTAGTATTGTCAAATAAGTAAAGCCATGAACAAATGTAAATATTCGTTTTTATATGTCACAATCATTTTTTGTACCTTTCTTACCTTTGGAAACTTTTCCCGGTCGACTTGAATGGTGTAGCCCTCGGTCATTAAACTGACATTCTTTATGTCAAACCTTGTGTTAAGCTGACATGTCCTATTTTCTACACTCCAATCCACTGAACTACACAAACTAAACCTGTAACACACCATCATGCACATTGCAATGTCAGCATTGGTCATAAGGTTAAAACCAGGCACAGAGGAATTGTTATAATTGCTAATGAGCAAAGCTTTGGGATTAAATTGAATGTAGAACTGAGAGAAGCACGTATGTAACAGAGTCAGAACATGTCCAGTACTAAGGTATAGACTGATCTTTTTAGGGTGAGCGACCAATTCCATGTCAACTGTCTTCTTTTACAATACGGCGAAATTTTTTTGTTTGTGAGCTGTAACCACGACAGTCACCAATGTTAGATTTCCACATTTCCATAACCTACATATTTATGATTAAAACTGTCTATTAATAATTGATGGAGTCTAATGTAATGGGCAGGATTAGTTCAATTGTTCAATGATATAAATATTGAATACCGTGGGTTTTTATCATGATTGTGTGAATTAGGAACCATGTTTGATATGCATGTTTTTAGGGAAAATGTTAATAAAAATTACAAATAGTTAATTCAAATTTGGTTTTTTTTCTTAAAGTAGTTTAAAATTGCCAAATCCATTTTTATCAGGTAGTATAAGCATTGAACCATGGAATGTTGTATCTTTTTTTTTTTTAATTTTGATTGAGTAGGTTTAGAATAATTTTGCTACCATGTGCAATTTTCTGATTGAATTCTTCCTGAATAGTTTTGATACGTCTCTTCATTCAAAAGAAACCTTATGGAAAAGCACTTAATGAAACATGAAAGTAGAGTTTTAAAATAAATATTTCGTCACAATCATACAAAGTTTTGCCAAACAGTTGTTTGTGTGACTTGTAACCACGTAACATTGTAAATAGTATAAAATTAA